TTCTGATTAAAAGCAAAATATTTTTCAAGTATAAAGTTAGGGCAATGTTAAATTCTCTGAGGTTTCTCCGGCAGGTCTTGGGAAGACCTCACAAACAGGGCTGATGGCTCAAGGTGCAGATGGAGGCGTGGGGAAGAACAAAGCGCCAGCAGGTTGGTCCCTCTCTGCAGACATCGGACTCCCTCCCACCCCAGTCCTTGCACCAGCGCCCAGTGGCCACACCACAGCTGGCGTTCCCCTTTTGGCACCACGTTTGCCCCCACCGATCTCTCAGACCCAGCTGTATCTGTGGCACCCCTGGGGTCCAGGTCTCTCCTCCCGCACTGGGGTTGCCATCGCTCACAGGTGCCTGCTTTGGGACTTCCCTCCTTCTATTCCCATACACCTCCTAAAGAGAACAGAAATATTTTGGCTTGCCCTTTGGTCCCTCATTTCTGCTTAAGCCAAGATTGCATGGCTGGGCACTCAAGGGTTACATGGTCACCTAAGGAATTCCTGTTCCCATTGTACCAAATATCATATTTTTTGGTTGGTGTAAAGGTTAACAAGTGGTTTCATCGACTCCATTGCCACACTGCCTGTTCTTCGCACGCAAAATTGTCTCATGTTTTTGTTGTCCCGGGGAATTCCTCGCCCAGGAACGATGCTGGTTTTTACCTAGCGTGAGAAGGGCCAGTGTATATAACTTCACTGCGTGAGTCACATTCATACACAAATCGAGCCTGTATGCAAAGTGCAAAAGCAAGTAAGAGTGATGGGTGAATTTACAGCTTCAGGAAATGTCTACATGCTTTTGCTTTGAGTGAGCATTCGGGCAAACATGTGTTATGTAAATGCCTGCGGTTGCACAACTCACTCCTCTGTGTTACCGATTTCACATCCATTTGGGTGTACGGAGCAGCTCTCCCCAGAAACGAGCCTATTGCTGCTCTAAAAGCCGAGATCTGGGGGTGCTCTGGGCTGCGTTAGAGAACACAGAAGCCTGTTTACACTGACTGCTCAAGTTTCATCCCACAGACCCAGTACGCCGGGTAAAACCAGAAAGCACATTCATTGCGGCCCCGTTTCCCTGCCAAAACGAATTTTCTTCTGGCTGATGCAAACACTCTTGAGGTCAATGCTCTCACGTTTTCTGGGTCAATAGGATTTCATTCTGAGCGTTCGCTTCTGCTGCTAAAGAAAAAAGGCAAACAGAGATTTCCGATACTCACCCTGACAGCTGGAGACCGCCTGAAGGTCCTGCAGAAGAGAAACGCAATCTCGGGGCCACGCTTGGTGCCAGGCTTCCCCGGAGCAGGACAGACAGAGTCCGCGGCGGCTTTTCAGGAGCCGTGCTTATGAGCAAGGCTGAGCTCTTTCCAGTCACTCTGGGTTCGCATGACGGCACTTCCACATCCTGCAAGCATCACCTAAAATAATTTCTGACATCTGAAATAATTTGTTCTCTAAACGCACCTTTTACCAACTTCTAGGTATACACATGTTCAGTTGGAAAAAAATATCGCAGGCATAAATCAGATGATTGAAGGAAGCGAAAATGAGAATCAAAGAACTAACTTTTTAGGCTAGGGAAAAAAACACGTTATGTTCTTGGTTTCACATAATTTGTCAGAAGTGGAAGAGGTTTTTTTTTAATTCTCCTTTGACATAATTTTTATTATGATGACTAAGACTCTTAAGTCCTAATATTCCTAATATTCATACCAACAAGGATTTTTCCATTTGAAGCTTATGGACACAGAATTAACAGGTTTTTTGTTGGAGACTCTAGTGGAACTACAATGATGAACTTACCAATGAGCTTCTGGGGAGCCCAAGACACTTGAAATATTAAAAAAAAGTTAGAACTAGGTTGTTTTTTTGGTTTTTTTTGTTTGTTTTTGGTTTTTTTTTTTTTAATGACAAATTTGATTTTAGCAGAGGCAGAGGGACTCCTGCCCTGGCAGACACATTTGCTCCAGAGTGAGCAAACACACACTGGCACCCACAGCAGCATCAGGTCGCAGCAGTGCTGGCTCAAGAGAATTTGGGTGTATTGAGACACTTGTTACTCCAGACCCCAAGCTTTTGGTGCCTCCAACATTTTACTCTTAGACCTATTGGTCATAGCTGACTTTTAGCCTAATCGCCATACAAGGGAGAAAAATATTTGCACATTTTCTATCAGAACCATGCCCTTGCGTTTTGAAGCACCTGCGTATGACAGGCTGCTCCTGGTTTTCAGCAAACAGAAGCAACACACCAGCAGCTACTTGATCAGAACAGGTTTGGAGGAACTTCCCTTCTTGACCTGCTTTTTAAGAAAACAGAGATTAAATGCACCAAAGGCTCAACAGGAATTCACTGCAGTAGCTCTTAAAAGAACAGCACAAAATATCTGGCAGAGCGCTGATACCAAAATACGTCAGTAGGAATAAAAATGGATTGATGTGCTGTCCCCACACACTGAACTGCTTAAAAAAGTTGGAGTTTTAACATCGAAACTAAAAAGACAGTCTAACAAGCAAAACTCGGAATCTCCTGCTTGTGAGCTATCCCACATCTCTTTACAATAAAAGTGAAAATGTCACATAAATGATAAAAATAAACTGTCTGAAAACAGTAGGTGCCAAATATAAAGTTTTATTTTTTATTTTCTGATAACATTGTGATAATATCAACTGTATAAAGCATGATAAAACACTTCCATAAAATAGTGTAGGTACATACAATAAAATAAAAAAAGACAAATATTATGTTAACAAAAGAAAAAAATTAAAAAGAAAATATTACAATAAAATAATGGCACAAGTTTCTTCCTGTATTCCAAAATTTATTGAAAATATTTAAATTATGCAGCACTAAGATAAGTTAATTTTATTTTCTCTCCTGATTTTAAACATGCACTAATTCAAACAGAAATAAAACCTATTAATCAATAAAGAAAATATTATTAATCATGTAACATTGCATGTAGATTTAAGAAGGGATGATGCAGTGGCTGTTAAAAGAAATGCATTATAATTACTTCCCTTCCCATGGGCTTACAGATTTGTAACAACTAAAATCACTCAATAATTCACAATGAAAGAAACAGCCACTGGACCAGCAATAAACTCTGATAAACAAGCAGTTACTGTAAAAAGCCTTTGCCAGAAAGCTATGGAACAAAAAATCAGTGATGCTTCAGAACAGCCTGTGCACAGTGATGGTACCCACTGCGAGCATCACCTGTGCGTCCGCTAGGATCCCGACAGCCCCGTCGGACAGAGGGGGACATCAGAACCCTACCGACGTCAACAGAAATCTTGAGACCGAAATTCCACTTATAGGTCTCGAGTAGAAACATGTGTGCCTTCTGACCACGATACTGCAAATAACCCTACGTACAACATCCACCGTTGTATTCCCAGCGAAAGGAGTGCTTTTCTTCTCCAGCTGCTGCAGAGCATTGGCCACCCAACGCACAGGGTGGCCAGGGATGGGTTTTGCGCCTCTCACCTCCGCAAACACCTTTGTACGCTCTTTTGCGCTAACTCTCAGGGACAGCAGTTTCGCCTTGAACTGAATTATTCAGCCCCTGCCATATTCTCCTAACTCCAGAAAAATACAGCTTAAGGGACAACTGCTGCAACTCCCAGGTGCATTTGCTGAGAGTGAATCCCACAAACTTAACAAAAAAAAAAAGGCAGTCAAGAACCCCGAAAACGTACAACTCCTAAGTCTTGCACACAGTGCAAGGCCACCAGTGACCTTATCAGTTCCTTTTGCCCTTTCCTGTGTTGCACACTTGCTGATTACACGACTTCAAAGGAGGTTGGAAGTGTTCAGAGATGCGACTGCATTTTTCTGTGCATTCTCCGCGTTATCTCAACACTTGTGGAGATGGTACTAAAATATTCTACATCTATGTGCGGTCTTTCATTATTCAGCGTACTAAAAACATGCTTTCTTTAAAAAGCCCTTAACACATGAACTACTTCACATTCTTCCCTAGGAATGTTTTCTCTATCCTGAGTAAACACTGACACTGTCCCTTTGCAGAAAGGTAATGCTTTTAATCATGACCAAATGCAAAACCACTCCTAATTTACCTAGAAACATTTTGGCCAGAAATACATGAACTAACAATTTAACACACAGGTGCTATGAGCCCAAGAATTCAAGCAATGTAATCTTGTGGAACTAAAGAGAAAAATAAAATATAAAAGGTTAGATTTCTTGCTGAGTGGATACATACATTCTCAAACAGTAGCAAAGTGGACTTCAATTTTTTGTGAAAATATTTGAGATTACCAGATTCAAGAGCAGATCTTTAGCATCAGTTACAAGAGCACCCCATTTCTTTGATACCTGTTTGTTATCTGAGTTTCGGTTTTTTGTTTTGGTTTGGGGTTTTTCTTTGTTTTGTTTTTGGGGGGTTTTTTTGTTGGTTTTTTTTTTTTTTTTTGAAGAGAGACCACTCATGCAAGAAAAGTGAAATCTGAAACACAGCTTGATGATGGAGTTTCGGTAAGGTCAATGTAGCCAATGGTTATTAATGAGCAAAACCCCTTCCAGTATAAGAAATCAACCTTAACAGAGCTAGTAAGCAGCCAAGCGACTTCATATACTCAGGAGCTGCTGTTGCCTACTAGGAGTTTGCAATTATCAACTTTTCAAAGCAAAGTCAGATGAAATCTTCTCATTATACACAGCACAGCAGAATCTGGGCCCAAGCTCAGGTATACATATTGTCTCCATTATTAAAGTTTTATTCTGTTGTGTTACATTTAAAGATACGTCCAGTTACTTCAATTTTTAAAAAAATCAGACAATTGTCCCACTACAAGAGACCAAGTGTCTTCCAATTTTGTAAGGAAAAAAAAAAAGACACTGAATCCAATGACCATAGTAAAAATAAACTAATTCCATAGCTTTTAAAATAAGGATATCAGCATACTGAAATGTTTTCAATGTTTTTAATTTAAAAGAGTACAAAATTATATTGAAACTTGAAAATTCACAAAAAAAATGTTTTCAGGAGTTTTGCACAGCCCTATTCAGGAGCAGCGATGCTCTGATAATGTCTTTTTGACTCCAGTTATAAAGATAGAACCAGCTTCTTGAAGGAGTGGGACCTACGACACATCCTCTACGTACGGTTGTTGTTAAGATTGTTCTTATTAAAGAATCTTCTTGCTTCAACATCGCTAAGGGACACGGAGCAGCGAGACGGGTTCTCTTTTCTGTATTCAATGCTTTCCATCATAGCTTGCTTGATCGCCTGGAAAACAGTGAACAATGTGTTATTTAGGGAAATAACTAACAGTTTAATGGTTTCTTAGCTGATAGAAAAGACCCCTTCAGATGTCAATGACTGGCTTTTATCACTGCTCCACCACTGAACAAAGCGACTGCTGAGTACTATTATGAATACTATTTTCTTGACTGTATAAAACACTGGTTTTAATGCAGTTAATATATAAAGGTACGACAGAATACCACCATCAAAGAAGTGCCACAAGAATATACACCATTTAAACCCAGTCCCAGGGCAATTCTGAAAGGTAAATTAAACATTGAGAAAATCTATCCTTAAAGGATATAGATAATAATTATTATCCCAAGAAAGATTACATCTTCATTTTTGCTTCCTTTGTCCTGAACTAACAAGATTTGTTCACTATATTGAAAAAAAATAAATTTCTTTATCTGGGATAATCATTTAGACTTGTGAATATGGCAAGTCACTCTATGGATGTTGGGATCATGGTCTTGTGTTACAGCTAGTATTAATTAAAAATAATTACTATGGAGTTAGTTGATGAAGACACTTCCAGAGATCTTTCAAAAAATCTTCCATTTTCCTTTTTTTTCCAGTTAGAAAATCAGCATACATAAAGAACTGAACATAACGTCTACATCCTGTGCAGGAACCTTTGCTCAGTTACCCTGCAGGACTTCTGATGGTAAAATGACAAAACAACCCACAGGAACCAAACTAGAAAGGATATGAACTTACCTAACATATACTCCAGCCTTCATTAAAATGAAGCGGACTTTTTCCACTAACTAGAACGGGCTTTGATCCAGCCACAACTTTTGAGAATAGCAAGGGACACAATTAAATGCAGGAAGCACTTTGGATGTCATAACAATCAGGCAAACACTGAAATAAATCCCTGTACCTTCTGCACGGCAGATTTAGGGCTTTACTCACATCATCTACTTTCCCCTTCAAAAATCTAGAGCCTTTAAGCCCCTTCCACACTGGCATACGTACATCTATGTTATTGAGGGTGTTGAACTCCATTAGATCGTGAAGCCTCTTGAAAGCCTCATTGGGATACTGAAAGTTGAAGGTAGAGAACGGTGTGTTTGGGTCATCAAAAATGTCAAAGTCTGCAAAATCCTTCTCTTCCTGTGTTTCTCTTGGAACGCCTGCATACAGAACAAATACAAGAATACAATCTAAATGATTGGGCTTTGATGCCTAAGGACTTGCCATCTTATTTTTTCATGGCTCTTTTGAAATCCCTAACTACCACAGATAGACATAAGAGTTATTTTGGAGACAAACCATTTCTAGTATATAATTCCCATGGCATTATAAAGGTTCAAAGGAACAGACAGACTTCGCATCAGAAACTGTGTGCTCACCTGGAGCTTTATACTTCCGGAAGTTGATGTTGGCCAAAACAAAATGGATTATAGTTGGACAGTCTTTCTCCGAAGAGGTATCCTTTGGTTTGAAAACATAGCACTCCTTCATGCCCTCTCGATCAAACACATTTGGGTCTATTTTCGGGAAAGGAAGCTTGTTCATTTTGGCCCATTTTTCGGCCAGTAAAATTTCCTGAAAAGATAAGAAAGAGTCAGGTGCATATAAGCATCCACTGCAAAGGGAGGTTTTGTGTAGAGAGACACACATCAAATTGGTTAACAGAAGCAGTTTATTAACTCGCGTTTCTTTATGGCAGAAGGACTGATCAAGTCAGTCTTCATAGAGATGATCCAGTATGGCACACTGAGCACCTAATTCAGCCTGCACACCACCTGCGATGATTCACAGGAAGGAAAGAGCTGGTCTGTCATATAAATCTTTGGTTGAATTTACAGAGCCGACAGCTAGAAAAAACCATCCGTAATTTTACTTGCAAACTGAGTATCAGTGCTATGGAAACCAAAGAGAGTTAATAAACAGCAATCCACGTGTTATGTTTGGTCACATTACAGCCCAGCATTTGAAAGCATGCTAAGTGAAGAAGTCAGTCCAGAAAACAGGGTTTTTTCCTCGTGACAACTCTATAAACAAAACAATTTGTAAATAATGACTCAAAAGCATGTAATGAGGGCGTGTGAGAGGGAGGAGAGGGAAAGTCAACATCTTTAATCTTGGTTTTGAATGAAATAGGACCCTTCTTTGGGCAATTGTTTTGGCAACACAAGAGATTAAAAGACAGTGGGTGTAAAATGATAAAACAAGAGTAGAGTCCTTGACATCAGCTGGCTGATTTCCCTATGTGTTGGAGAAATAAAAGTATATTACAGTGCTACCATAGATACAGGCCAACTCTTGAACTGTCTTTTACTCTTTGTAATGCAAGCAGAACCAATGGGATTGCACAGCCAGTAAACAAAACTGGTTTCTGTCCTCTAGGCCATTAGCATATGGTATCTGCTTGTGGACTGTACCCATGTATTAGCTGAAGATACGTCACTCTTATTATGCGTATATTCATGCTTTGGAAATAATGAACCATTGCCTTCAACGGTGGCTTCCTGAAAACCAAAGGCACCATTTCATTTTCCCACCATTTTTTCTTGCGTAAAAGGATTTTGCCTCTATGAAATTAGAGTTTACAGAAAAACCTTCAGGATACCACTCGACTTCCAATCAATCTCTCCACGTTACTTTATGTTCCCCAAAACAGCACAGAAAATTGCAGCTGATGAAGACAGAAACCTCAATGCATAGGCTAAGAGTAACAGACGACTATCCACAGCCTTTTGCATGGACTCCATGTGCAGAACACAACATAGCCGGAGGAAAAAGATGTTTCAGAGAAGATCGCCGTGCTGTGTCAACAAGTTTAGTTGATGAGGAAAATAGTCACAACAAAAAAAAGAGAAATTCTTAAACAAATAGAAAATTAAAGGAAGAAACAGACTGTGGGATTCAGTCAATTCAGTTCTCTTGAAGCTTGGAGTTTTTTGCATTTGACAACACTGATCTAGTGTTCATTTTGCTACTCCTGTTCTTTTCTAATATTGTTTTGGGGTTTCATCCCTTGGTAGCGAGAAGAAGGGAAAAAAACCACTCTGTTCTAATTTAAATTTCTCTGTAAGGCAACAAAGAACAGTTTTCTCTGTTTCCTTAAAAATTAAAATCCTCATGGGTTTCAAAGAAATTGCCTCTTTTTTTAGTACCTCACAATAGTCTCGTAAGTGCTGCTTTCTCTATGTTACCTACCAAAACACTCCAACATTAAACTTTTCTGTTCAGTTGGAACTGTCTGGATACATAGGTTGCACACGTCATGGGGAATGACAGCTGTGCTTTCCACACCCGCTGGATTTTTCTGTGGTTGCCTTGCTCTTGGTCTGCATGGATTTAGGAATCCTACTTAAATCAGTACTGAGATTATCCTAGTGAGATGTAAATGAACAGTTAGCCCCACTTCCAAAATATTATAATATATTTAGCAATATCAGAGTGACTGAGAGACACTTCTGCAGGATGATGACAGAAAACCACTCGTTTACATCAGAGGAAAACAGCTGTATACAGCTAGAGCACCAGCACAATAGTAAATTACTTACTTTATTAATACTGACATAAAATAGAGTTCTGCAATTCAGTATGAAGGCAAGACTTCCATAAAAACAGAGCTACTACTACAAACGCATTATATTAGGCTTCTTTGTGTCAGTTGTCTCGTGTGAGTCATGTAAACAGGAACTGAGGCTGAGTGCAATATTCTGCCTTGACGTGGAAACAAATTGCTCCAGTGTTGTCGATACAACAGCACTAAAGTCTTCTGGAACCATGAAATGTGCAACCAACCCGAATGGAAGAATACAACTGAGTCACACAAAGAAAGGAACGGCCTGTCTTACTTTGAAAGGAGGACTGGAATCACTTGGCCTCGCCGAAAAATCAAAAGAGATGATGAGATCAACGCCTCTTTGAGGCCTTAAGATAAGTGGGTACGGCAGGTTAAAGGTAAGTCCACTGTCCACTATATGAATCTTTTTGCTCTTCACATCTAGAGGCTCGTATATCCTCTCGAACTCATCAGGATCTGCACAGAACAAAGGAAAACAGGAACACATCAGTTAAGAACTGAAATTGTGACAGGCTTTCAGGTGCTCCCCCAAGTTCTGAAGATTCCACACAACTCAAAATGTCTGGTATCCCAGCTAAGCATACCATAGATTTATGTGCAACCTTAACTCTTATCTTAACAACTGGAAAATGAGGGGAAATTAACAGAGCTGAAAGGGACCTCAGTAGGTCAAGGACACAAATGCCCTGTCCCAAAGCAGAAACAGGAGTGGCTTGAGGCAAAACCAAAGGGGACAAATGCCCAGGTTGGACCTTAGGCTTCCTAGCTTTACCCCTTCATCCCTAATCACCCATACACAAAGGCAAGTGTTTACAAGATGTTAAGAGATAGATTCCTAACATACATCCCCTCAATGTCCTACAACCCCTGCCCAAACCTCTTCCTGCAGGTTGCCTCCCAAAGCCCCTGTTGTTCGCAGCTCCTCTTCCTCAAAGAACTGAAATTTGCATCACAGCCTCGACAGGGCTCTGCTCTTCAGCGATCATAGAATCATAGAATCATAGAATG